TCGGACTTGTTCTCTTTGTATTTCAGTTTTGTGTTTTGAGTGTTCATTTTGACTTGATTATAACTGAAAACACCAAAAATGACAAATTTGTCGTTTTGGATTTTCTTTGTAAATTTTTAACTTTTTTTCAAAAATAGGAAAAAAAACGCGTTTACACTGTTTTGGAAAATTGAAAATAGAAAACGGTTTGAAAATGGTAAAGATAACAGACCATTATTATCTAACATTTTAAAGTTGCAACATTTTATTATCGTTTCACAATTTATCTTGCACGCTCAAACTATCTGAATCTTGGTTGAAAAGTCCTTAAAGTCGATAAGCCTTTCATACATATAGAGCGAACATCTTCAATGAAGTGTGCTACCCAAATGATATTAAGATGACAAGTGAATTTTTAAAAGTTGAGGGTTAAATTTCTACTCGAAAGCGCTAACAATGCGATTTGTCTTCTATTTCCTTACTTAACTTATCAACTGCGCCTTTTTCTATGTTTCTATTTATTTATCTCGTTCTTTTGAGATAAGTTCAGACAATGGGATTGGATCTGATTCAAAGTTCAACTCGATTTGGATTGCTCAACAGATCAATCTGCAAATGACCCTACCAAAGCCCCATTTCAACGAGTGACACAATATTTCGATTGGATCGATGATCAAGTCGAGTTCAAAAACTAAAAGTTCCGCATCTTCAAATTAATTCATCAAATAGGGACGTACATGTTGATAATTTTAGAGTCATCCCGTGAGCTTGATAATGTCTCGCCAGTGCTTTAGAGTTGTTCCGTTGGTGAATTTAAGCAATAACAATCCGTGCATTAACACGTCGATGTTCAAGTTATTACTTATGACAACATTGGTTTCATAGTGACGAATTCAAGATCGGACTAAAAAAACTTTCAAGCCGAGCTAGTTTATGAAAAAAACTAGACAAAGAATTTTGCATAATTTATTTTTACACATAAAAAGCTAAATGCCAAGCCCAGCCGAGTCCCCCTACATCGACCCTTGATTGGTTAGCTAAGTTGTCAGTTCAAGCTTTGAAGTATGATTGAGCTAGTGTAGATACTATATCAACTCGTACGTATGTCATGTTTCTGGGTCACCTTTTAGTTGTTGTAGCCTTCACAATTCTTTGAGTTTTTTTTTTCTCTGAGTTAGGCCCGTTTGTCTCTCATTATTTCAAAACATTGTTTGTTACGGTAAGATTTTCCACCACACATTCACCTAATAAAATA